CTTCACAATAGGCCTTAGGGAACACTTCCTAGTAACATTGAACTTAATTCTAAATATAAAAACAAAGAAGAAGTTAAAGCAGTCCAGTTGAGAAGTGGTAGAGAATTGAATACTAAAGTGCAAAAAGAGATTGAAGTTAAGAGGGAACCCAAAAAAATTGTAAAACATGAAGGAAATGTTCCTGAAAATATAGAAAAAGAATATAAATAAATCTCTCTCCAACTATGATCATTTTAGAAAAACCACCACCGCCATTTTCTTAGAGACTTAAACAACAGAAACTCAATCAACAATTTTTATAATTTCTAGAGATATTTAAGAAGCTAACAATCAACATACCTTTTGCTGAAGCACTGAAACAAATGCCAAACTATGTTAACTTTATAAAAGATATATTAAATAAGAAAAAAAATTATTGAACATGAGACTGTTGCACTTAGTGAAGAATGCAATTTAATAATTCAGAAAATACCTTCTCAAAAACTTAAATATCCTGGTAGTTCTACTATTCCATGTAAGATAGGAAAAAGATTTTGTGGAAAAACTTTATGTAATTTAGGAGCTAGCATTAACTTCATGCCCTTATCAATATTCACAAGCTTTATGTAATTTAGGTTACTGTAACCCCTTCAGTTAGCTGTTCGATCAATCACTTATCCTAAGGAGGCTATAGAAGATGTGCTGGTTATAGTGAATAAATTTATTTTCTCCGTTGATTTCATTGTTTTAAATATGGAGTAACATAAAAAAATACCAATAATTTTAGGGAGACATTTCCTCGCTACTGGACGAACTATGATAGATGTGCAAAAATGAGAGCTAACTATGAGAGTTTAATGACCATGAAGTTATTCTTAAATGTGTTAAAATCTATGAAGTTTCCAGTGAAAGGAAAAGATAAATGTTATAGAATGGAGATTATCGATGATTTAAGTAATAACCATCTTCGAGAAAGTCATGAACTTAAAGAGGACCACAAGAACTGAAGTATGAGAATGAAACTAATTTTCAAGATAAATCTATTGAGATAATCACTGAGAATTCAAATTATGTTCAGGAAAGTTTTGAGATTTTAGACACTGCTGAGAATAATAATTCTCTTTTTCCGTCAATCGAAGAATCTCCTGAACTTGAGATGAAGTTACTCCCTACACCTTTAAAGTATGTTTTTTTAGGGAACTTATCAACATTATTTGTTATAATATCCTCAGACTTAAGTAAAGATCAAGAAGAAAAATTAGTGAAAACTTTAAGAATTACTAATGTTGTCGTGCCATCATTAATTACAGTCAAATACATTAGAATGGCCACTCATATACACCATCTTTATTCGTGGCTTGCATTAGCGCATTTCTCCATTTAATTTCCTTAATATTAAAATTATGAGGTAGAAATTTGATAAAGACTTTATTATTGAAGCAAAATTGTGAAATAAAAATGAGCTTTTTTTTCATAGAGGGGGTTATTGTTTATAATGAATGGTTTGGAGGAAGAAAATATAGTTGTTGAGCTAGCATTAGTGATCAAAAGTTTTGTACCATCATCGATGTGAATGTTTTCTGTATATGGTTAATCTGGATATATGGATATATTATGGAGATTAAACATGAAATGGTGGGAGACACTTGAGTCTAGGTGTCATTTTGTTTCGAAAGATGTAGACTTCAGTTTGAGGGAATGTATTTGCTTTTGGATTGATTCAAGGATTTTAGTGCATATGTAAAGTTGGGACATCGTTTTGATGAATGACCTTCTTACTGACAAAATTGACATTTGCAAAGATAGGGGCAATGGTGGAGGGCGCTTGTTTGATTGGAGTTCTAGTTTGATTTTATAGTGGAGATACAGTTTATATAGTAAGGTGAATTTTTTATGAATTGGTTCTTAGATATTTTAGCAGGGTTGGCAATCACAGGTATTTTTTAGGAGATTGTTTTCTTCGTTCCTTTAACACTGAGATAAACATTAAAGTTTATGAATATTTTATGTAGTTCCTTAAATGAGTTGGGAGTCTCATACACATGCATAGCAGAGCAAAGATTCATATATGCATTGTCAACATTCACTAGAATTTTTATTTGAGATCATCTTCATCAATTTGGTAGCAAAGCATGCCTAATTCATCGGCAATAATTTTAGCATATTGCATGTATTCGGTGATTAGTTATGTTCCCTTGGAGTGAAGACAAGTTTTCCTTAAACAAAAGGTTAATTAAATTTTTTTTTATAAAGAGCATTATTTGGCTCCTAATTGAACAAAAGGTTAATTAATTTTTTTTTTTTTATAAAGAGCATTATTTGGCTCCTAATTTTATTACACCAGAAAAAATATACATCAAAGGGCCAAATGTTCCACTACAACTCACAAAAAAATAAAAAAAAATAAAAAAAAATAACCTTGGAACCTAAGGCCAAAATACAACTCACACAAATCAAAAAAGAAAAAAAAACCCTCATTTACCAAAGCGACTAAAAGGAATATCCAAGTAATCACCACGAAGTAGCCGAGAAAGCTCCTCCGGAATTTTGCTAGTAACAATAACTTTCTGTAAAACCAAACCAAGCCTAGCCACCCAATTCACACGCTGATTCCCTTCACAATGGATAAAAGACCACCATAATTAGTAGGTTTACACATTTTAGACCATCTCATCCAATGGATCTTATGAGCCTTATCAGCCCACAAAAATCTAATAAAAATATTTTCTAACTTGATGCAAAGAGTATTAGGCATTTTCATAAAACATAAAGTATACAAAGGAATAGAAGTGAACACACATTTCAATAAAGTAACCTTACCACCAAAAGATAATAAGAGATTATCCCAAGTAATCAATCTCTTATTAACTTCATCAATGATATTGTCAAAAAGATACTTCTTTCTCCTTCCTTTGTCAAGATTAAAGCCCAAATAATTAATAGGAAGCTCCCCCGTAATACAACTAGTATAATCCTGAATCTAATTCCTTTTCTGAATTTTAATCCACTTAGAACAATAAAAATGACATTTATTAGTATTAAAATTTAAACCAAAGACATCTTGAAAATGCTTCAAACCTTTCGAAAGCCTTTTAATAGATCCTTAATGAGCATTGGTAAAAATAATAAGATCATCAGCATAAGCAAGATGAGAAATACCAAAATTCCCTTTACCAGCAAACAACATGCTAGGATAATTGTAGAAAACCATATTATGATATCAGGAAAGATAATAAAAAACAAGAATGAAAATATAAGGAGAAAGAGGATCTTGCTTTATTCCTTTAGAAGATTGGAAAAAACCACACTTCTTTCCATTAATTAAAATGGAATAGTAATTATTTTCCAAATCCTCTTAATGAGATTGCAAGACTCTTGATTAAAACCCCTGGCTTTAAACACATCTAAAATAAATTCCCATCTAAGAGAATCATCAGCTTTATGAATGTCCATCTTAAAAATGAAATTAACTCCTCTGCCCTTCTTATCTAAATCACGAACTAATTCTTGAACAATAAGAACATTCTCACCAATTTATTTGTCTCTAATAAAATCAGATTGCTGAACATAAACCAAATTATTAATAAAAGAATTAAGTCGATTAACCACAATTTTAGAAATCAACTTAGAAATAACAGCATTAAGATTAATAAGTCTATAAGCGTCCCAATATAAACCGCCTTTAGTTTTAGGGATAAGCACCAAGTTGGCACTTTTAAAATAGTTAGGCGGGTCACAACCTTTAGAAAACTCCTGAATAGCATGAATAACATCCTGCTTAATGATATCCCAACAAGCTTTATAAAATATAACATTAAAGCCATCAGGACCAACCAACTTATTACTGTCCATACTATCTAAAGCTTGTTTAATTTCAACAACATTAGGAATAGCGACAAGATTAATATTATTAGTATAAACATAACTCTCAGAAAATAGGTTAATATTAATCAAATAAAGAACACTATTATCACTTTCGAAAAGCATAGAAAAGTACTCAATACCGTCAGCCTCAATGAGATTCTGATCTTCAATAAGAACACCATTACTTTGCCTGATTTTGAGTATATTCTCATTCGTTCTTCTTTTCTTAATAAGGACATAAAAATAAGCATAATTCCTGTCACCATCAACAAAATTTTGCCCCATAGCTTTTTGTATGAAGAAAACATATTTCATATTAATAGCCCTGGTAAGAGCATCCTGACCAACCAAAAGATCTTAATGAGGAATTACATTATTACTAAATTCCTCCTTTAACCCTTTCAAATTGTCTTCTGCAGAAAGAATATTAGTATGGAGATTCCCAAAAACCTCCCAATTCTAACTCCTCAACTTAGCCGCCACCTTCTTATGTAAAAACCATAAATTAACACCAGCATTACCTTCATAACTAGAATTCTAGTTAACCTTAATAAACCGCAAAAAGGAGTGGTGAAGAATCCACATATTTAAAAACCTGAACAGGTAAACTTAGTTATTAAAACCATCTTTACCGTAACGATTATAGGAGCATGATCAAAGCAATTAATAGCAAGATGATTCACAGTGGAGGCTGAGAAAAAATCCAACCAAGCAGTATTGACCACAAACCTGTGAAGCCTTTCAAAGGTCTTAGCACGATACCATGTAAACGGATTACCGGTATAACTAAGATCAAAAAGTTCATCATCTAACAAAACTTCATTAAAATCATTTATAAGCTTATGATTAGGATATTTACCACCTTTCTTCTCCTTAACAGAAAGAATAGCATTAAAATTCACACCAACAATCCAATGACCATTGCAATTACCTTTAAGAGCAATCAAATTGCTCCAAAACTCCAACCGAGCTTCATCTGTACAACCAGCATAAATAACAGATACTAAATTAAATTACAACTTAATGGGATAAGACTAAAAAAGATATAAAATACAGTGAGATATTTATGATATTCATCTGATAAATTTATGTTATAATGCCTTCTGAGTGGTCGAATAATTTGCATTTGTGCTAAATTTCTTCGTTGTCTTAACCAGTGCTAGCACCTGTTTTTTAAGTTGATCAATATGCAACAAATTTGGTGAACCAGTGCCTCAAGAGATTAATTTTACTGGCTGGCGAGACATCAATCTTCAGAGAAGTAAAATGGAAAAACCTTCTAAGAGTTTTGTTAGTCACGAGAATTACATCGGGGAGCAATGTTTGGATGATGTAGATACATTCAGTTATTATTCTGTTAATGTATGGAGATCAGCGAGCATATTTTCTACCACACCTCGCCTTGATGATTCTGAAGGTGCTTGTAAGAAGAAGAAGAAGAAGAAGAAAAAGAAGGGGAAGTTAAATAAGCTTCATTCTCAGATCATTTCTTCTTCTGGATCTGATATGTCTTGTGTAAAGGAGACCTTCATGGGTGCAGAATCTATTAATCCAGAAAAAGGCGAGCAATCCAAAATAGGATTGTCTAATCCAAAGGATGGCGATAATTTATCCACAATGCTCTTTTGTAACTCTTTTCCTGTCCAAGTTGAAACCAAACACAACTATTCATGTTCACACTTAACACTCAACCAAACTGGAGAAAATGACCCAAAAAGTAGAGGCATTGAGTGCTCCCCTATCATAGTTCCCATGCAGAATTGCAGAAGACTCAATGAATCCAGTAACACAAAGGCTACACAGAACCAGGACAGCGACACCGAAGTCAGAACAGTTTCTACTGCTAGTTTATCTTTTGCAAGCTTAGCACCAATTGGGTCATACTCAGAAGATACAAAAGGCTCTGAAAAAATATTGGCTGACGAATATCAAATAGTTCATGGAAAAAGCAACTGCAGAAAAACCAAGTATTACAGAACTTCGGAAAACAAGAATAATTTAGTTAGAGAATGTGAGGGTTCAAATGATAGAGATAGAAAAGTAGGTTCCATGATGTCTCGCTTCGCAGCCTCTATGAAATCCCACAACATGGTATTAGAAATAAATCACAGAGAAGAAGAGGATTATAAATATAACAGAAACAAAAAAACTAATTCTAAGGAAGAGTTCTTAATGCCCAGCGATATCCCTGCTATTGAACTGAAGCAATATGATCCTATGGAAGGGTATTTTCAAAGTTTTTCTGGAAAATCACAGATGCTTCGCAGTATTAACAACCAAAGGCAGCAGGATATGGAAAATACTCCACTTTTCAGGCAGAGGTTAACGAGGAATATTGGATACTTGCAGTCTGAGGGTGTTAGAGCCTTTGATGACTCTCACCTGATGGTAAATGATGTATCACTCACTGTAACTTCTCCATTAAAGTTACATTGCTACAAGGGAGATGGATTGTTGCCTTCTCCACAATATCATTGTACTTATAATCATCGTTATGTATCATCCAGAGTACCTCAACAATTAGCTGAACTAAAATCCAGTGATCAATACATTCGGCTGGAATCAAGATTAAGGGCAGCTGATAACTTGAAAGCAGTAATTTGGCAGAAATCAGAAGATAAACTCCAGCGGCATCTTAGAAGTGGCATAAACCACGACAAAAGGAGATTAAAGGGAGGTGAAGGCCATTTACGTGAACTCGATTATAGGCCAAGTCTTTTTACCGCTGTAAGTTCAAAAATTTTGATGGATAGATATCTTCAGAGTTTCCATTTGCAGAAATATGATAGCCATGGTACTCGTGAACCTCATCTTTTGGAAGATACGGCGTGCACATCACAATGTAATGGACCCTATTTAGCTCTTTCACCGTGGCAGCTGCCCTTGCATGAGATCCATGCACATTATGGGACAGAGAAACGTTCAACAATGCAAGATACAGAGGCAGAAGCTTTTTTTGCCTTTCACAATGATCACATAGCATCTTATTCATGCTCTAAACCTGAACTTCTTTTTAACAGCAACGTCAAAGCTTGCATTAATTCACTAGGAAATTCTCTTAAATCAAGTTACATATCTTTCTCGCCTGAAAATAAAGAAGAGGGCAATGCTAATTTTATCAGAAAAGAAGAGTATCACACAAAGACTTGCAGTGCCAATTCTTGTGGAGAAAATTTGGGTGACTTTTGCACAAATGTAATTAGCTTTGAAAACGGTGAACAGCATAAGGGTGGTTGTATCACGAAGGGTTACAGAGTGAAGAAATCATCCATGCATGTTGGTTCAACATGGGCAGAACAAATTCTTTTTGCTGCTTACAAATTACAAAGAGGTGCTGGTTATGTTCAGCTAGTCACAGGCAACCCCATTGCTACTTTCGAGAAATTTCTTACTTCGGCCGCTCCAGTAATTGCTCCTTCATTCTCGAGCAAAGAGGTGGAAGATTTCTTTTTTACAATTCAGGATCCTAGTGTTGCATTACACTGTATTTGGAGTTGGTATGAAAAACCTGGATGTTACGGATTAGAAATAAAGTTAGGAGATTCTCAGAACTTGGGAAGTTTGAAGAGCCTGGATGAACCTCTTCTTGCTTATTTTGTTCCTTCTCTTTCTGCCATCCAGCTGTTCAGCTACTCCCAATGTTCCAGAAACCGGGAAACTATTGAGACTGTTCATCAGAAGGAAGAAAATGGGAAATGTTCATTACTGTGCTCATTCCTGAATCATTTGTGCCCAGGATCATTAAAAGACACAAAAGAAGACCATGTTCTTAACCCCATAGAAAAGCATACTGGAGTTCCTCTTCACTCAATTGATAATGTTGGCTCCTTAAGTTGTTCTAACGAGAACCAGAATTACAGCTGCATTTCGTCCACCAGTAGTGAATCAAAATTGATCTTTGAATTCTTTGAAAATGATCTTCCGCATGAACGCTTGCCTTTATATGCCAAGTGAGTGGTACCTATTCAGCCATTACCGCTGAGTAACATGTCATTGGTACCAATGTATTATTTGATAGGTTTTTATAGCATCAAACAACCTAACATTGGTTCTTTTTTCTTTATGACAGGGTAAAGAAGCTCATAAAGGATGGTGCTTCCAACCTGCATATTTCTGGCAATCCGTCCAGCTTAGAATGCATGAAATTGCAGGATCTTCATCCCTCTTCATGGTAAGTAAACAGCACACAGTTTTGACAGTGTTTTTCAAAAGATTGAATATTTACTGCACAGAAGGCAAAGCTAATGAACCATTAATGTTCCAGAATTTGAACTCATTGTAAGCATGGATATTTTTAGGTATTCTGTCGCTTGGTATCCCATCTACAAAATTCCAGATGGTCCACTCCGCATCACATTCTTGACCTATCACTCCCTGGGGCATTTTACCTTGAATCATTCCTGGTCGAGTTCTTCCAAGCAACATGTGGTTTGTCCAGTGCTGGGAATGCTTAGCTATAATGTGAAGGTAATTATTCTTTTCCAAACTTATTGAAACTATTTCCATTTCCTATTACAGTCCTTAAGCTTGAGCTCAACCTAGTGAAATAAAATCTTGTGCAACTCTATACCTGAAACCTCATTTTTTCTTAAAATTCCCATACCAACAGAATGATGGCTGGTTTATCCTGAATGAGAATGCACGCAACTCTCTTGGTAAAGAACAGAGGTCTTTAGATGTTTCAAAGTTGCTTCAAGCTAGACTGAACAATCTGGTGGAAACTGCTGCAATCTTTGCAGCAGGGCGTACCAGTATGAATAATGTAAAGGTTAAGAATGTTCACCAGGATTATAATTTCTTTCTTTCTCGGCAGCAATGATCAATTCTTGCCTCATAGGCGCTCAGGTACTCATTTTTGGTTTGCTCAATGCATAGTTTTTCCATTTATTTTTCTTTGACCTAGACAGTAAGAGCAAAGTTCAGATATTGGTGATTTTATGCATAACGAGACTAGAAGTTGATATATTTGTTGATAAAGTTCAGCTTTATTAATCTCCCTAGATATATTTTTCTACAGTTTGAACCAAGCTTTCTTCAGTCCACCTCCTTTTATTTCTGTTTTTTATTTCGTAGTAATTTCGCCTAAATAATTAAATCCAATTTGTTTAGCTAAGCTTTAATAAAGGACACTTATTTAGTTTTTAAGTTAACAATTTCGTTTTAATTTTTCAGATCTTTTACCTGCCCATCTTAATTATCCTGTTTTTATTCCTTAATCTGAGTGTCGGTTGCTTTTTTTTAAGCATCAAAAGATTAATTCTATGAAATTCATGATTTTAAGATTCATATTCTATGCGGCGTTGCTGCTAATCACATCCATGAAAATTGAAAGCCAGTCCAACTAGGGCTGCCAAAAGAGATTGGTGTTCGGCTCGTTCGTTAAGTAAACGAGCCGAACAAGAACAAGTTTTTAAAGCTCAAATTATAAACGAGCCGAAAATAATGAACAACTCTTTGTTCGCTCTTATTTGGCTCGTTTTAGCTCGATATATATATATATATATATATATATATATAAAATGAACAACTTTTTGTTCGCTCTTATTTGGCTCATTTTAGCTCGATATATATATATATATATAAAGCGTAACTGCTCGTGTGGTAATCGTGTGGTAATGTGGTTATGCGCCTTGTTTTGCTTACATTCGAATCCAACATTTTACATCTATTGTTTCAATTTAATTTTAACGAGTCAATTTCGAGTCAAAGACAAACACGAATATTTAAAACCAACCGAACACGAACATACTGTTCACAAGCTGGTTTCGAACACGAGGCAATTTTGAAGATGAGAAATTTTGAACGAGCCAAGCCTGAGCTCGCTCAAACTCGACTCGTGTACAGCCCTAAATCCGACCGCCAAAATTCCGGCCTTCCCCTTGGTTGGACGTGGCACTTTGACCAATTTTGAGTCTTAATTGTAATTATGCCTAATAAAATAAATATGAATTGAAAAAAGGCATATTTAACAATTTTTCAGAACGAACAATTTTTAATTTTTTCTTTAAAGAGGCGATGTATTTAAATGCTGACTACCGACTGATCAAAAAAAGTCGGTGTATATCCTGGTCTCTTAATTTTCCTTATTTCAGTATTACACTAAAGTGTAAAATGAAAGTTAAACGGGGTAGTTACACACAGACCGCCCTACAAATTAACCACTCGTGATTTTTTTAAAGAATTGCCCGATGTACTTATGCATGCCCCGATCAAACTATTGGAAATTTGATTAAGATAAGAAATATGGGCTCATGTTTTATAATGAATTTTGATATTTGAGCAAGAATATGAAAATGGACGAAAGAGGGTGGTTGATTTGTAAAGAACAAGTTTGGGGTGGTTTGTATGTAATTGCTTCAAGTTAAAATATATTTAAATTAATTTGAGAAAAAGGGGCATTTACATATATGGCACACAATTCTTATGTATTTACTTGCCTCACACGTGAACTATCCTATTCACGCACATGTCATTCAAATCTTTAATTCACATAAAAAGTAACACTTAATCATTTTTTTTAAGTGAAGTACATATTTTCATGCATAGGTTAAATCACCAAAGTGCTATATATGTAAATATGAAAATTTAGGTGTGAGATAAAAATGTATAAGAATTGTGTTATACATGTACATTCCAAAAAAAAAAAAAATTCTTTGTATTTTCCTTACTATTAAGGCCAATTCATAGATCTATTATGCTTGTTAGAAAATTGAAGCTTCAGAACTGAGGGTTTGTTTGGCACCGTGTTATCGCGTGACATGACGACAGTTTTATAAAATTTTGAGAAAATACAAGCCGCGGGTTCGACCTTGCTTCCCGCGTTTCATATTAAATTTAAATTCAGCTTTTACATCCCTACCCCCTCCCTCCTCTCTGTTGCGATTGAGCTTCTCTCTTGAGTCTTGCTCTCCCCTCTCTCGCGATTATGCCCTAAAGGTAAGATCCCCGCTTACCTCTTAGAGAAATAGTGATGGAACCAACCCACATAGAAATTCTAAATAGTTCTTGACTCTTCTTATGAAGTCCCACATGGGTAGTCAGAAGCTCTCATTTGTCACTTGAGATGGCTAAGAACAACATGTGAAGGCTCAAGAATGAGTTCCGATAGGATCACTTGACTTTAGGGCAACCCTAGGTAGCTTGGTCTTTTCACACATACACACACACGCACTTGGACTCATCACAAGTTCCATAACACACCCAAAACTATCAATTTACCCAAATTGATCCATCTCCCCCTTGACGCTCACAACCACTCCTTAACTCTTTTGAAAACTCATGCGGGTGGTCCTAAGTTCTTAACCCTTTGCTAGGATGACTGACATCAACATGTGAGGGCTTCAAGATGAGTTCTCATAAGGCTCATATGACTTTGGGAAGGTTTTCCATGGCTTGCAGGCTCACCACCTAAAACCATCCAACATTGTCCAAAGTCACCCAAATTTACCAAAATTCCCAAAAATACCTAAAATTGTCAACATCCCCAAATCCACTCAAAACTTCACTAAAACCAATTCTAGTCATCCAATTTACCTAAATTCACCCAAATTTTCTAAATTTACCCAAACTATCCAATTTCCACCAAATGACAAATACAAATCCAATTCAAGTCCCAAATTCCATCATGAAAAATTCAAAATTTCATGAAGCCCATCATGATTAATTTTCAAAGACATCAACATTAATTCCAAGCCCAAAATTAAGGTCTTTACATTAAATTTAAAAGCCTAAATTTTAACTTTCTTCAAAATTAAACGAGCCCACATGACATGAAATTCCCCTCATCTATTTGATTAAAGTCCTAAAGTTCATAATTTAATAAACTAAATTTGGCCTCATAACACCACCAGACAAAGTGCCTCATTTTCCACTTTCCATCTTCATGAAAATAACCAAGCCAACTGCAAGTCTCTAAGCCATGGCCAAGCCACTTACAAGCCTCCTTAGCCCCATACATGCCATCCTCCCCTAAATGGCAAAAGGAGGACCTACTTTCAAGCCTCCAAGAAAGTTCTTCACCTCATCCATAGCCTATGTTCAAACCCTAGCCTCATGATTGGGACTTCATGATCTGAACCCAAAGACCAAAAATCACACCAGCCACCACGTGGAGATGAGCCAAGCCCTTCCCATTGACCAAACCGAAGTCAAACTCAAAAGTGGTCTAAAACCCATTCCACTTCAATCCACTCATGGACACATGAAACAACTTAATTGGCTTCACATTTGCTTACAACTGAACTCCCTCAGCAGGATGGTGACCTCCCATAAGCCGACCGGCCACCCTAGCAGCCAGAAAATACCAAACCCAAGAGACCACCCATGGTCAACACCCAAAATTTGAACTCCCCCACTTTGCTCACTCCCATTGGACATTGGCACTTGCTTTCCCTCCACCTAAGCGCCATCTTAGACTCCCTAGCTAGCCTAATTAAACCCTAATACCTTTCCCATAAAACCACCACCACCTCATAGACAAAAGGAAAAGAAGTGCACTAATGACCTGACTCACAATTACGTAGTTATTTTGTTTCCAAAAGATAGCAAAAAACTTGACCTAATATATTTTAGCTGCTAGTGTGTACAATAGATATGTTATAGAATATAAAATTTGATAAATAGTTTGCACGCTAGGGGTACTACGCAAGTATACATATTGTTTCATGTAATATATGATTTTCTTTTAAAACCCCAGAATCGATCCAACAGAGAAGGTGAAATTCTTTTTATCCAAAACTCTTTTTATGACTTAGGAAAACATTACTTAAGCTCCAAACAATTATCTAGAAAAAATGACAGCGATTTTAGGTGTAAACAAAGGTTACTAAATTTCTACTAATTCTATTTCAAAGCTTAAAAGAAAATGTAGTATTTCTAAACTAGTTTTACGAAGAAGAGTTCAAATTATGTGAAAGTACTTTCCCCTTGCAAGGAGATCATAATAAGTGTAGAAGTCAAATGCTTAAAGGATAAAATGTAGTTTTATGCCAAATAGGAGTAATCTTATTCTTTACCCGCTCTCGAGTGCATAACAAATATTGGTTAATCTAAATTTAAGTTTCTAACTCTTAGGTTATGCTGGATAGGTTCTAGCCTTTCACCTTTAGATTTCCCACTGTTCCCTCTCTATAGGACTAACCAGTTCTTAGGTTCTAAACTCTAGATCAAATTGATTAAGGTTCTAGCTTGTCACCATAGAATCATTAATTTACGTCCATCAGAACTTATCTCCCTGTCTATTTGCACAAACCTATAGATTACCTTCTTACCCATGATATTAATGTGACTCTTACTTGTTGAGGAACATGTAGCCCTTCCGGGTCATTATGTATTCACAACAAGTTTTAGCACAACAATTGGCCAGATTGAACATGTAAATGAAGTACAAAGAAATGAATCATCACAAGTATGAAATAAGAGAAATCTTAAACAATTCTAATCCTATACATGATTACTTCTTATTGTAAGGAGAAAGATACAGAGAACTACTTAGATTTATGAGGATAACACAACAAAACATAATTTATATTAAAAATCCAAGTCTTCACAATAAAAAAAAAACTCAAACAAAAATACAAAGTACTTATCTGAGACTTCTCCCCAAGCAAATTTTTGAAGTTCTTTTGACTTCTTACTCCAATAGACAAACTAAAATATGCACTACAAAGACTCTCACTCACAACACACACAAACACACAAGAGAGCCTCACGCCCCCTCCTAAAATCTTCACCACCAACCAAAAGCCTATCTTCAACACCACACACATACACATTTTTGACCAGCAAATTGTTCCTTTAAATAAAGCTCTTAAAAACACCAAGAGTCACTTCAAGCACATCTTCAAAATTTGTCTAAATTCATTGCACAAAAGTCCAAACAATTTCTGGTGCATAGGCGTCAGCCTTCTAAAAGCCTATTTTAACTATCTGGCTCCTAGAGGCCAGGTCACTTTTTGCGCCTTTGCTCCATTTTGCTCCAATTTTGCTCCTTTTGCTCTTAAACTCTATTTCTTGTACTTGAAATAAAAAACAAAC